AAATGTCGGAGGAATTCAATATAAGCCAAGAGGAGATTGGTTTTCCTTTAAGCGCGATGGAGAGAGAACAAAACAAAACGCTGGTCACAAATTAGAAGCACAAAACGAGGATTTGTAAAGAAAAATGTCGGAGGAATTCAATATAAGCCAAGAGGAGATTGGTTTTCCTTTGGTAAAGTAAGGAAACTTTGCTTCCTTTGCTCCTGTAAACAAACTTTTGAACGCGCGCACGACAGTCAGCGGAAGTCACACAAAACTATTTATATAGTTTAAATATGGATATTTATTTTTAAAACGCATCTATTTGCTACAGGAGGCCTTTATTCATCCCCCAGAGCCGTGTGAGGCACGTTTTATTATGGTTTTGTGTGCTTTATTTGACGTCTTTTGGATTGTTGAACAAAAACACAAGCCAATATAAAGCTTGGAGGAGCAAGGACATTTTTTAATATAACTCCAATTGTATTCGTCTGAAAGAATAAAGTCATATACACCTAGGATGCCTCGAGGGTGAGTAAAACATGGACTCATTTTCATTTTTGAGCGAACTAACCCTTTAAAAAAACGTACAATTCACCCTCAAGTCCTCAGTTCACACATGCTAATACTATCAACAGCTCATTGGCTCTTATCAACACGGGCATGTCCAAGGACCTGGAAATGGTAACTTGTGATATCAGACTTATCAAGTGGATACTAGTAGATGTGAGTTTTCTAAGTAAGACATGTTCCTGAATAAACATACTTTGTTGATCCTGGAACAACATCCCTGTCCAAAAGTAGCGTGCTAACTTCTACCCCTATACCTAACCCTAACCATAACTTACATGCAAAATCAGAAGGAAATGATAGGTGAATAAAAATGTGTAGAAGCCCCTAACCTAAACTTTTGGTGTATTCAACTTAGGCTGCGGCTGGAATTAACAGATCAATGAGGTTTGCCGCTTCAAATCGACAAAGGAGTGACACGCACATGCCGTTTGCGTACTGTCACGTGAAGTAGATTAGATGGAAAAAATTGTCAAATATACAGATGTTTCAGATGTTGACATGTAGAAACAAAAACACCCTTCATTCAATACTTTCTGTACTTCTATACAAGAATAAAGTTTAACATGAGCCTAGACTATTTAAATACCATTAAAATGGGTTCTAAATTAGGTGTGTTCGATTTGTGTGCAATGTGAAGTCACTTTGCACAGGCCCCGCCCATGGCTGTTGATGGACACTGCAGTATTAGCAGAGACCCCGTCCTGAGTGAGCAGCACACAATCCGCCATGTTCATCTTCATGCTAGAGCATTTAAAAGCAGCATTCACATAAGAAATGTCTTCTTATTAGAGTTACAGAAATAGATTCAAGTGCAGTGAATGATTTTCAGTTTTTATTTTATTGTTTGGGTCATATACAGTGTAGACAGCAGTATAGGTACTGTATATTACGCTACTGTCACTTAATACACAGATCTAATATAAGCATGCCATTTATTTTCCAGCTGTTTAACTATAGGCTTAGATCTCTGCCACAATTCTGCGCACGGAAGATTGATTGGCTGGAATTATGGCATATTGTAACGCTGGGTTGTGTTGAGCAAGCGAGCTGTTGGCATTTAGAGAGCACAGAGGGCGGGCATCAGGTGAGCAAGCTAGTGAAACGTTGCACGTGCAAAAGAGAAGGTCTGCACACATCCAAAAACTTATTTTAAATGCAAAATTTATTTTCGAGCGCTCTAAATCCCACTGCTCCGGGTGTGTGTTCACGGTGTGTGTGTGTTCACTGCTGTGTGTGTGCACTTTGGATGGGTTAAATGCAGAGCACAAATTCCAAGTATGGGTCACCATACTTGGCCACATGTCACATGTCACATGTCACATGTAAATACTTTCTTCTTTGCGAGACAAACATTTTCTCCACAAAACTCAGTTTGCGCGCATGCAAAATGCACTTTTGCGCGCTCAAAAGCATGCAGAATTGCGGCAGAGATGTAACCCCATATTTAACTTCACAGTCATAACCAACAGTGTTTTTGTAACTTATGTGTGTTTTAACATAAACTGTATTTGACAGTTTAAGCACAATAAGACATGAAAGAACTTAGTTTAGTACTGCCGCGTGACAGCCGCTTTCTGCGTGTGCTTCAGATGTGTGCGCTCAGAAAACCGTATATAAGAAGTTTAAACTAATATGCTTTAAAACGCATGATTTCAGCACAATAGACATGATAATCAAAACCGAACAGATGTTTTTAGCAGAATATCTGAGGAACAAGCTGTAAAGGCACAGTCCTACTCTCAGCAGCTCATTTGCATTTAAAGAGACATGCACGAAAACAGCATATTTCTGCGTCCACTCTAAATAGGCATTTTCAAAATGATATAATTGATAAATGATCTGTGTAAATGATCTTGAGCTGAAACTTCACAGACACATTCTGGGGACACCTGAGACATATTGTAAGAAGGAGCATATTAGGAAAGGAAAAAATGAAATCGCATCATATGACCCCTTTAACAAATTTGTTTTGTTAATTGCAGTGTTGTTTAACAAGGATGTTGATCCAGGAACATGTTTGGTAATTCTATAGTCTCATCTTATCCAAAAAGAGAGAGAGAAAGAGAGAGAAGCAAGAAATAGATGAATACAGTTTCTTAACCCCTTTTAAACTTCTTTTCAGCTGGAAATCAATTGATTGATCCTTATATTAAATGCATTGTTCTTTTCTTGTGTTTTTAGGGCCCTGGATGCTGTTCAGATTTAGCCATCTCGTTCCACTACATAGACGCAGTGCAAATGCACACTTTAGAGTACTACTCCTATCACTTACGCCCATACGGATATAAATACAGATTTAAGCCAGATTAACACTTAAATAATATAAATAACATCTAATCCAAAAATAAGACAGCATTCAAAATTTAATCTTTATGAGTCAAATTTATTGATACATGTATACTTTACTTCACTGTACCATTAAATGTAAATCATGTTATATTTATTGTTCTATACAGTATTAAAACAGGTTTTACAAAGTTATAGACTAACAACTTTATTGTCCAAAACATGAATGACATTAGCTTTGGAAAAACAGTGGTTTGCTTCATCATAGTCCAAATGTAAAAATACAAGTAAGAAAAGAAAAGCGTTGGTTCATCCAGACTTTGGGTGTCATTCATTTATAGAGGAAAGAACTTCTGTATGTTTGATTGTAATGTGTTTAAGAATTGATGGGAAGAGATCATTCCCAAACTTATGAGTCATGAATGATTACTACTAAGGAAACATGAATAATGAAACATGGATAAACAATGTTGAAATAATTGATGGAAATGATGTTAATCATACAATATAATACACATTTAACATACAATACTGTCCCTAAGAGTTTAACACAGATTTTTAATGTTAGGCTTTTTGCATTTTAAATACACAAGCACTCAAAAGAATCTATATGTGATTGACACACATACATTATTTTGTCATGATCAGTGCAAGAAGTAGGCTGATGCTGTCTTGTACACAGCATTAGTACTTTTGTGCAGTGCTTTTTTACAGTATACAGCAGGGACATATTGTTAGCTTCTCAACATTCGCTTTGGTTGAAATTAAAATATAATTATATAATAATAAAATACAAATATGTATGTGTATTTACTCAATTATTTTATGAAAACAAGGGGTGTACTAGCACCTCTTTTTTCCACTTCGAGCATTGGTAATGGTGTTTAAAGGAAAAGTGGAAATTTACTGAACATTTCAGTCCATCCAAGATGTAGATGAGTTTGTTTCTTCATCTGAACAGATTTGGAGAAATTCAGCATTACATCATCAATGGATCCTCTGCATTGAATGGGTGCCGTCAGAATGAGAGTCCAAACAGCTGATAAAAACATCACAATAATCCAACAATATAATACACATTTAACATACAATACTGTCCCTAAGAGTTTAACACAGATTTTTAATGTTAGGCTTTTTGCATTTTAAATACACAAGCACTCAAAAGAATCTATATGTGATTGACACACATACATTATTTTGTCATGATCAGTGCAAGAAGTAGGCTGATGCTGTCTTGTACACAGCATTAGTACTTTTGTGCAGTGCTTTTTTACAGTATACAGCAGGGACATATTGTTAGCTTCTCAACATTCGCTTTGGTTGAAATTAAAATATAATTATATAATAATAAAATACAAATATGTATGTGTATTTACTCAATTATTTTATGAAAACAAGGGGTGTACTAGCACCTCTTTTTTCCACTTCGAGCATTGGTAATGGTGTTTAAAGGAAAAGTGGAAATTTACTGAACATTTCAGTCCATCCAAGATGTAGATGAGTTTGTTTCTTCATCTGAACAGATTTGGAGAAATTCAGCATTACATCATCAATGGATCCTCTGCATTGAATGGGTGCCGTCAGAATGAGAGTCCAAACAGCTGATAAAAACATCACAATAATCCAAGTAATCCACACCACTCCAGTCCATCAATTAACATCTTGTGAAGTGAAAAGTTCAAACTACTGCTTCCGGCTAAAAATAAGAGTACTCTACGCATAATATTGCTTTCTTCAGTGAAAAAGTTGTCATGTCTGAATCTCTGAATGTCTGAATCAGGAGAGATATACTGTATGCACAAATCAAGCCCCACTTACAAGTGAAAACAATCCAAAACAATTCTAAACAATTGTGGGTGGATTTTGGAGTGGACTTTGTCACTGGAAGACGCGTTATTATAGATTATAGACTAATATTTTGGCCAGAATTTACGGTTTAAAGTTAAAACATCTTAATGATGGATTTGCTTCTTACATACACACAGCTTTTTTCTTCACAAGATGTGGACTGGAGTGGTGTGAATTACTTGTGGATTATTGAGATGTTTTTACCAACTGTTTGGACTCTCATTCTGACGGCACCCATTCACTGCACAGGATCCACTGTTGAGCAAGTGATGTAAAGCTACATTTGAAGAAACAAACTCATCTACATCTTGGATGGCTTGATGGATGAGTACATTTTCAGCAAAGTCTCATTTTTGGGTGAACTATTCCTTTAACAGAAATCACAATTAACAGAAATGTATTCTATGGAAGGAATATTAAAAAATAAAGAAATTCGTAAAACATTCAATGCGACTAGGGAAAAATGTGGTACTTTGAATATACATGATATTTTCTAGAAAATGGAGCAGCACTAGTCTAGTAAACAATATTTAAAATAGTGTTGGCCCAAAGGACAAATCTGATCTACAGTCAGTGTAGCAGGAATCCCTACTCGTCTCATAAAACACATGTACGACAATGAAAATGTATCTGCATAGTGCATGATCGCACAGTCGACACAGCTTGATGTGAATCTGCTGAATGAAGGCCTGTGCTTCATTGTGAGGGTATGTTATGTCTGTACACAAATGTTTTGACAAAGGTCTTCTGTCTCAAAGCGGTTGCTGTTGCCTTGGCAGCCACCATACCAGAACTGTGCGCATGCGTTGGCCTCCGGGTCGTAGTACCACATAACCCTGTACTCCCGACACGGCCCAGGATCCAATCCCTGCCTACAGCCTACCCCTGAAAAACAACAACAACAACAACATTGCATTGCATTGACAATGCCTGTTAATACCAGGAGTAAACATCAGTCGGCCTATATTTGTAGTGAAAGCAAGTGTGTTTACCTTTCATGAAATCGTTAGGCTGAGGGGCCGGTGCAGGTAGAGTCCGTGGTGGTGGGCTGATTTCTGGAACAGGCCGCCAGTTTATGGGTGTCTGGGGTCCCAATACTGAGATGGAGGATTGTCTCGTCTTATCTCCAACTGGGGCATCTGTCACCTTAGGAAGCTCATTTAAAAACCCATCAACAAAGGGCGTCCAGTTGTTGTCAATATGCATGTCGTCATAGTCATCTGGAGAAGAAGTGATCTCAAACTCTGTTGGAAGTGCATCCTGTGAAAAAGAGACATTTAAAGACTGAGCGGCGTTGAACCGGGCAGCACAACTCATAAGGAAACACAAGCTCTTTCCAGCAAAATATCACCATTAAAGGGGTCATATGATGCTGCTAAAAAGAACATTATTTTGTGTATTTGGTGTAATGAAATGTGTTTATGCGGTTTAAAGTTAAAAAAACACATTATTTTCCACATACTGTACATTATTGTTTCTCCTCTATGCCCCGCCTTTTTGAAACGCGTCGATTTTTACAAAGCTCATCGGTCTGAAAAAGCGAGGTGTGCTGTGATTGGCCAGCTATTCAGTGCGTTGTGATTGGCCGAATACCTCAAGCGTGAGACGGAAATGTTACGCCCCTCACCATACTGTGATGGCGTGTCCAGCCGGAGCGACGAGACAAAAACATGAAAACCCATTACAAACGAGGCATTTGTTGCATCCAGTGGGGACATAATTACTGATTATAATGACTTATACTGTCTTTTTACACGTTGCGTTGCATCGCGCCGCGTAAACATAAAACCCTGTCTGCATTCTCTCGCGCACTCTCGTTCTTTCTCGGACAAAAGAGAAAGTAAAAATTGAAATCGCATCATATGACCCCTTTAAGCCAGTGCTTATTTTATGATTAAATTTGGAACATTTCATGTGCACACTTTTCTCCATATCTGTGTCTTTAAGGTTGAAGTTTGTTCATATTTCACGATACTATGTGATTTTACTATCAGATCTATTCATTTTAAAAATACAAATACAAAGCAGTTCATAAATATAATGACATTTTATACACTTCGTCAATGACAAGCATGCTTTTAATTTCTAATTAAATTTTTTTTAAAGGGCATAATCTTTGATTAAAACTGCTTCATTGCTTATTAATATTTGCTTTTTAATATTAATAAAAACTTTTGTTAGTTTTTATCCTGAAATCTATTTTAAAACGTTTAATAATAATGGTTAAGATGCGTATACTCACAGGCATTCAAGTTGTAAGGGAATTATGTTTTTACTATTTGACTTGTTGGCTACACCACATAGCATTTAAGTAAGGTTCATGCAAATGGCACGGGAAAAAAAGATATCGTGCGACAAATCCTTTTTTTTAATTCATGGAGATGTTTTAATAATTACTTCACTCTTTTTAGTTAAACTGTTGACGCGTTTGATTACTAAATTTCATCATTTTAGTTCAATTGTGGCCATGTTTCATTAATTCATTCCCATGTTTAGTTAAATCATGGCCATATTTTAATAATGCATTCCCATCTTAGGTAAATTGTGACGATGATTTAGTTTAGTTAAATTGTGGGCATGATATAACTAAAAAGAGGAAATGAATTAACACATTATGAACACAATATAAGACCAGTGTTGTGGGTAACATTACAAGTAACGCAATTTATCAGATTACTTTACCAGTAATGCATTACATTTAAATTTATGAAATATCTGAGTTACTTTTTCAAATAAGCAGCACTTTTGGGTTTTTGTTTTTAAAAACAAACAAGCAAGCCCAGCCAAGGTGACAAAAAGTAACTCAAAAGTAATGTAATGCATTACTTTCCATAAAATGTAACTAAGTAATGCAATTAGTTTATGGAGTAACGCAATACTGTAATCCATTACTTTTAAAATAAATTTTCCCCAACACTGGCTAGCATGAGGGAACAAACTATTAAGTCACAGGAACAAATCCTTAATTCATGGTCACAATATGGTTTTTTTTCCCTCTGCATTTCATGTGCAGGGCTCCGAACCAAGTTTATATCTGAGTTTATTTTGCTTATGAGTTTATATAGAGTCTTTATTTGCTATATCAGAATGTATTGCTGTCTTTATGTAGAAGTAAATTTAAAAAATTACCTCTTTGTCCTCTGTGATGAAATAACTCCTGGTGGGAGCCTCAGTTCTGTATGGAACTGGCTCAGGCTCAACTGGAGGGAATGTTTTGCCGTTCAGACTGAAGAGCGGTCCATCAACACTCTCACAGATCTGACTCAGCAGTTTACTCTCCAGTGCTGAAAAATCACAACAAGTTAGCATAAAAAAATGTTTAGTCAATTACACCGTATTTAAAAGAAATACGGGCGTACGTACTGTGCAGGCTCATGAAGTCACCAATCAAGTAGACATAATGTTCATCAGGATCAGATGCCAAAATGTTCATCTCAATCTTAAACTCTGTATACTGGGCATCACTGCTGTTCACGATGCCAACTACGAAGATTTCAATCCCAGCATTGTGAGCCTCTTCCGCGGCGTCTTTCAACCTCACTGCATCCCGCTTGTCAGCCTGACCGTCCGTCAGAACGACCGCAACCTTTCTTACGCCTGGCCGTGCTGCTCGGAAGAGCTGAGTGGCCCGGTGGATGGCGCTGCCCGTGAAGGTGCCCTCGCCCAGGTACGGCATCCTGCGCACAGCAGCTTTAACACTTGCCTGGTCGGAGAGATGTTGTAGGCTGGTCACCACCACGTCCATGTGACTGAAGAGCACCACCCCAACACGTGTGGCTTCATGGCTCACGGACACGCGATCGATCAGAGCATTCACGAAATCCTTCACCAGATCAAAGTTCTCCGGACCTATACTCTCTGAGCTGTCGATGATAAAGACCAGCTCCAGAGGACTCGTCCTGCACTTCAGACCACATCCTGAGAGAAAACGCACAAAAAGTAAGTGCCCCCACCTAATTCAGAACCTATATATAGTTTTTCGCTTGAATAACAGGGATGGTTATATACCACATATTTCCCGGATTATTCTGATCACCTGGTCTCTCTGTGGGATCAAGTTCAATGTATGTTATTTACACAATAGATGTCAGTGTTCTGAAAAAAAAGTTTGAATATAAATCTTTGACTCACAGATAGGCCGGGCTCTCCCTTCTCTCCTGGTTTTCCCTATAATTGAAGTTGAATTTTATTATTAACAGAGTCAGTTTTCAAGGTATAATCTACATTATCCTGAAACCTCAGGTTGAGGTAAATACTGAATTAAAGCTGGCCTACAGTCTGTTGTGGTTCCATTAGTGTAGCGGTGTGGTCACATTTATTGTTGTTCGTCAAATTTCACAGGCAAAATACAGTAATTTCAGTAGGAATCTACGTGATTGGGAATTTCACATGAAGGCGAAAGACGTTCCCTCGCATATTTTGCATCGGGTCCAAGTTCTTCACACAAATTTGTGACAGAAGACTTCTTGGTTTGAAAGTGACTTCATGCATCGCTACACTACTGACATTGGACAATGGACCTTTTTTTGGTCCGCAACAAAACTTTACCCCAGGCCATGAATTTTATGAAATTTGAGCAATTTCCTCAGATTATCCTGATGTCCATGTGCAATGTTGGATAGTAGATGCTGCTGGAGCCTATTATAGTAATGTATTGATATAATGTATTGAAGACGTTTCAAGTATCTGTATGTTACAGTGTTTTTATAGTGTAACTCAAGAGGTCTTCGACCCTGCTCCTGGAGACCCACTGTCCTGCAAAGTTTATTTCTTCACCACACTTACCTGTGATTTTTTTAAGCAACTTTAAAGACCCTGATAAGCTGATTCAAGTGTGTTTGATTAGGACTGGAGGTAAACTGCAGGACAGTTGAATAGTTGAATATCTCTGGTGTAAGGTTAATGGTTTTTCATGTGCTTTTAACCCAGAAACAGTGTTGTAGTGCTCAAAACTCAACTCTGTCTCAAGTCTGTTTCTGGTTTGGACTCTGTCTTGACTCGGATTCGAGACCAAGTCCGGTCTTGAGTACTAAAACATGCTTGCGGATAGTGGTATGTTGTCCATTCAGACTATCTTTAGGTCTTTGTCTGGACTTGGACTCTACTCTGGTCTCAACCTTGACTTGGACTCAAATGAGCCAGTCTTGACTACAACTCTGTCTGGCAAATGATTCAAACGTTAACTGGAACTGAATGTGAACCTGGTAACTGGATATTACCTTGGCTCCTGTTTGTCCAGGCATTCCATGTTCTCCTCCCTCTCCTTTTCTCCCACGTTCCCCTGCTAGGCCCCTGTTACCCTGAAACCATCAGATTTTGTTAATTTAGCATTGCATTTGAAAAGTAACATAGTATTAACTACACTGACATATAATACAATCAGTCAGTGTTTGCCTATCTCGTACCTTCTCTCCAGGCAGACCATCACCTGGAGGCCCTCTAGGGCCAGGGGGCCCTTGAAACCCAGGATCTCCCTGTGATCACAAAATGTTAATTTAGAGGTCTAAGCTTCTGTATGGTAAAGTGTTTTGCTTGTTGTCCAAGCTGATTGAGCTATAGTAAGGCCTTTGGTCCTTACCTTGGGACCCTGAATTCCCTCTCCTTGAGGTCCTGGAAGACCAGGAGCACCAGGCTGGCCAACTGCACCCTATAAAAATTTCATATTAATCAATGTTGAATATATTCTGAGCCGATGCACAATTTATTTTAAGAAGTGTTATTGAACCTTTGGTCCCATCAGTCCAATCCCTGGAGGCCCTGAAGGGCCGGTCGTTCCAGGTGAGCCCCGGTCTCCCTGAAAACAACAACTACATCAGTTTAGCCGAACTACTAGACTAGACTTTGCGGACTTTCTGTAAGACAGAATAATCATTTATTGTGAATTGAAAAATGACAAATACCTTTGGTCCAGGAATTCCTTGTCCTTCAGGTCCAACTTCACCTGGCGGCCCAGGCAACCCTGGAAGCCCCTGAGAATATATCATATGTATAGATATTACTGGTTTTGTTTTTTGTGTTGTTCTTATCAAAGTCTTTGTCTCCTTTTACGCACCTGTGGTCCGGGGTAACCCTCCCCCTTCATTCCTTGTGGCCCCACTTGTCCTGGACTTCCTCTGTCACCCTGAGACATGCCAACATAGATTTTATTAGGTCAAAAAGAATCATATTAAACCATATAGTAATAGTCTTTGAGGCTATAACCTTAGGGCCTGTGGTCCCAACACCTGGCTCTCCAACAGGACCCGTGGGGCCTGCAGGTCCTGGCTCTCCCTAACAAAAAAAAACACACAACCAACATAATGATTAAGAGCATATGTACAAAACATACAGTAATTTATGACATTAGGTTAGAATGCAAATAGCCAACCCTGTTGGCAAAGGCACCCATTGTTGTGCAGATATTTACCTTTAGTACAAATATTACTTCTTTTTACACTTTGTGTGAATAGTATCTATCACTGTTTAAACCTAGTGAGACATATACGTACCTTTGAACCAGGTAATCCTCGACCTGGAGGTCCTCGTAAACCCATCATACCTAAACTTCCTGGTTCTCCCTAGGCATAAACAAAATCTTTTATTACCAGTTTTTAAAACATGTTTATAGAGTATATAAGAACAACATGGATGGTGAGAGATCAGAGACCAGGGAATATATTTTTGATTTTCAATGTATTTTATGAGTTTATGGGTTTTATGTGTGAATATTCTCACAACCAGCATGACTGTTAAAGGACTGATTATGAGCAGCCATAAAAGTGTACAACCAAACCCTAAAGACCTTTAATGAACTCTTTAAAGGTCCCCTGAATTGCTTAGAAACACGCAGCGTTACTCTATGTGTTGACGTCATTTTAACTGAAACAGGAAGACAGGGCAGGACATATCAAGCAGCCCCGCCCCTTTTTAAAATAGCCAATAGCGTTCGTTTATATCACAGCTTGGGCTAGAGCCGTTCAGAGCCGTTGAGCTCCGTAAAGCCGCATTTGACAGGGTATGCCAGCCACAATCTCATCCATATTGCTAAAAAATCTAGCATTCTGTGTAGAATTCAAATAGGTCCGATAAATTTTGTGGTATGCGCCGACTCGCGCATGTGATCCGCTCCGTGCTATCGTGTCTCTGGACCGGAGCAGAGTGTGTGTGCGGTGCGATGGTTAGCGTGACACAGCGCGAAACCAGACTTCTTTTTTTCCTCAATGGAAAGCATAGTTACACTGTCTGAATCGTTCCCTGTCCCCTATATAGTGCACTACGTGCCATTCACTGTACAGAAAATACTAATGCTGTGGACAAGTGACCGATTTTATAGTGTAGGGGGCGGGCGCTTCAGATTCTAGAGAGCATTTGATTGGACAGAAAGTTTGACGAGAAGCTGAAGTACGATGTGACGTCAAAAAAATCGTTGAGCCGTTTTGGCAGAAGTGACGAACTGCAAGCTTTGAATGCTTATATCTTCTAAATGCGAATTTTGTCACTGTTTTGGAGCACACTGCCTTATAGATAACCTTAAGACTAACATATTGATACTAACACCCAAAAAAACTTTAATTTTGATTTCATGGGGACTTTAAAAATCCTGCAGCAACCCTGACCAAGTTTTTATTGCTATCACTGTCACAAAGCAATGCACATAGTGTAGTGTATTGCACAGAAAGAATACTGAACTAAATTTGGAGCTACACTTCTGGCACTAGAACCAACACTGAATCGACTTGAGCTGAATAATGTCACTATTTCCTTTTTAGAGCTGCCTACAGAAGATTTTGAATTGTCTCAATAACTGAGTCTCCATAATTGATTCTGCTGTTTTCCTGTTTACTACTGTGAAGCTGCTTTGAAATCTGTATCCTAAAAAGTGCTACAGAAATAAAAGTGATAACTTTTGTTGACTAGATACCTCAACAATAGTAATACATAGGGTTTGGCAATACGGTGTTATACTGTGCAAAGTTCTAAACAACAGGGCAATGACATAAAGTGTATATTGCAAGTATGTACACTGTATTCAGCAAGTATTCAAGACACCTTCGTTGTTTTAACATGTTGTTATGTTGCAGCCTTATGCTAAAATGCTTGAAATTATTTTTGTACACATCACATCTACGGTCCATACCCCATAATGACAAGGCAAAAAAAAACAAAACAGAATTGTTATAACTTTGCAATAAAAATAAAAACTAAATTATCACATTGACATTTGCTATGACACATGGAATTTAGCTCAGGTGAATACCTGTCTAATAGCCCCTCCCCCTACGCTACGTAATTAAAGCTGCGACAATTGAGTGCATAAAGTGTCCAACATTCCACACTGGAACCGTTTTTTTTCGTTTATTTAAGTGCATCATCCGGGTATTTAAAGTGCAACTTTTTCTTTTTGGAATTTTCAATGTGAACGCACTACTCACACTATTTATATTACAAAACGTCATAGAATAGTGCATAAGTACGCGATTTTGGACGCACCAATGGTCTCTCTTTATTGGAGTGTGCACTTCACTTTCATGGGATGTTGTTGTCTTGCAGAGACCAGCAACAGCTGCTTTTTGACTTTGGTGTTGGAGATCTTGCTGTAGCTCCTTGACAAGGTCGAATAATTCCATCTAAATCATGGACTCCCATGTCACTTCTAACACCAAAGGGCTTTTCGTCAAGTGCTTAATCCTTGTTGTTCTAAACCAGGGTTTTTCCAAACTCGGTCCTGGGGGGCCGGTGTCCTGCAGAGTTTAAGCTCCAACTTGCCTCAACAAACCTGCCTGGAAGTTTCTAGTATGCCTAATAGTGGTGTAACGGTTCACAGAAGTCATGATTCGGTACGTACCTCGGTTTTGTGGTCACGGTTTGATATGAGTTCTGTACAAGCTTCTAGAGAGCATTTGATTGGACAGAAAGTTTCATGAGAAGCTGAAGTACGATGTGACGTCAAAAAAATCGTTGAGCCGTTTTGGCGGAAGTGACTAACTGCAAGCTTTGAATGCTTATATCTTCTAAATACGAATTTTGTCACTGTTTTGGAGCACACTGCCTTATAGATAACCTTAAGACTAACATATTGATACTAACACCCAAAAAACTTTAATTTTGATTTCATGGGGACTTTAAAAGTCATCTGACATTCCAAACCTCTAAACACAACGACCTGGACATTAACCTCCACATTCCCAATGCAAAACCAGATTGTATGTTTTTAAGCTCTGTCACTGTCCCACCCACCTTGGCCCCTGGGGGTCCTGCTGCTCCTGCACTTCCTGGGAGACCCAGAGGTCCTCTGTCCCCTCGGTCCCCCTGTGGAGAGATTCACAAACACAATTTACAGTGACATTTTCCACTTTAGTACATTCAGATGGGACAGTATTTGAGTATTGTTCAGCTTTTTTGGTTGTAAATAACATATGATTTTATTTTGAGACAAAAAGAAAAGTCCAGATCACATTTTACCCCAAAATCTAAATGCAAAAATAAGATATCATATTCTGCATAGAGAAAATGTCTCAAAAGTCTAAAAGGTCTTTAAAAGTCTCTAAGGACTCAGGATTTGTATTTTTTTATTTATTTATTTTTTTGTGGCAGCATATATTTAGAGGAATTTTTATTCTCATTCTCAGTGAAAATGTAAAACAATATAAAAATTGTATTACAATATTACATTTTTACAAAGATTCTTTTATTTCAAAGAGTCTTTTCTGCTCACCAAACCTGGATTTATTTAATCAAAAATGTACAGTAATTTAAAAGATCATTTATTTCTGTGATGCAAAGCTGTATTTTCAGCATCATTACTCCAGTCTTCAGTGTCACATGATCCTTCACAAATCATTCTAATATGCTGATTTGCTGCTCATTCTTATTTTTATCAATTATTTCTACTTATTATGAAGAGTATTTATTTGAAATAGAAATATTTTGTAACTTTATAAATGTCTTTATTTTGTCCAATGTACTTTCTTTAAAAATAATTATAAAAAATTAAAAAATTATAATTTTAATGTGAAATACAAACTTGACCTGGCTGGTTTTGTAATATTCCTAAAATAATCATATAAAATATCTGGTGTCAGACATATTTCCATCATTTGAAATGGTTACAACCTGTGTTAAACTGACTTTGAATCAGTAAATTCAGTAAATGTATACTGTAATGTAAAGTTTGCATTTAATGGCAGGAAATATATTACCCTCATTGTCACCCAAAAGGGCAAATATTAGTTTCTGGAAATGGCCATTTACAAGCGTGACTCAATGTTAATGAATGTATGCTGTGATTCACTGTTTGTCCATAAGAGCTGCATGCACATATCAGTTATAACTTGATCTACGCATATGGTTGTGGTAACTAAAAAAACCTATCAGAACATCATTGTACCTTCTCACCAGGAATACCTCTCCCGGCTGAGCCCTCTGAACCTCGAGCACCAGGTAAACCCACCTCACCCTAACATAATGAACAGAATATAGAAATGCCAGGGGAGTAAACACATATAAACAGGAATTCAGTGCATGCTGTGGTGAAATCCCAAAGCTTTATTAGATGCTTTTCTATATTTGCACTCATAAAACAGATAAGAAAGAATGATATTTCTTAGCCACACCTTAAAACAGCATATGACTTCATATGACATTCATTAATTTTTTAAAGCCAAACCACTGGTTAAATTTTAAATTAAATCTGTGACCCAGGATGTTGTGTCCTACCTTTGGACCCACAGATCCATCTTCACCTGGGATACCAGGAATACCAGGTGCTCCGTCTGGGCCTGGTTCTCCCTAAAGTCATAAAACCAATATATCGCTATTACACAAAACATTTTGGTGGTGTTTACTCAATAGTGTATATTGAAAATATAGAAACAGATAATATTTGATTTAGTTTGTAAGGACATTAAAATTTTACATACTTTTGGTCCTGGTTCTCCTATTCCTCTCTCACCTTGTGGTCCAGATTCTCCTGGAAAGCCCTGATCACCCTGGGATCAAATTTGAATATACTGTACATTTACGAAATTAAATTTTCATATAATTTAAAATAATATTTTCATTTAATTTAAAATGTAGCACTTTTGTTATATGCTTTTGTCAGTGTTGTTTGTTTTTTTTATTTCTGTTTAGCTTTAATATATTTTTTAATTCAGCTTTATTTTTAGTAATTTTAGAACTTCAACTTATTCATTTCTGTTAGGTGCCAAGGCAACATTTCACATTTTTGTAAAAAAAGAAGTTATTTTTGGGTGACCTATTCATTTAAATGTGCTTTACTTATGATAATATGGATTGAAAGTACTTATTCAGAATACTCTCTAAAGATACAGTTTCTTGCATTTAATATCAGACCACATCTGAACTAAATTTTAACCTCTTAAAGACGTCCTGTGGACGTCCAAAAGACGTTGAAAAAAGACGTCATAAAAACTTTCATTCTGGCTCTTCAGGGGACGTCATTTCAACGTCCGAAAAAGACGTTGAAATGACGTCGTTTGGACGTACCTTTGCTCAGTGGGTAATCTAAAAAATAAACACACACACACAATGTACCTTAGTTCCCACCATGCCCACTCCAGGAGGGCCTCTTGGGCCAGGTGGTCCTATGGGTCCCGGGTCTCCCTGCAGCGAGAAACACCATATCAAAAAGTGTTTGCAAAATTAAAACCGTACTATGATTTCCTATAAAATAATGTAGGATGCAGCCTATGGATAGATAAGAACTTCTCTTTGCCTTTTCACCCTGGAGCCCAACTCCTGGAAATCCCATCAGTCCAGGCAAACCCGCTTCCCCTGTGTTACCCTGCAGAAGTAAGGAACAACTAGTGTCTTATTGCTGGATCTTATTACACTCGACAACAGCATGTTTCTTATTAAACTGAGATTATACTATACCTTATCACCCTTGATGCTAATCCCAGGAGGTCCACGTCCACCCTTAGGACCCTCAAATCCTCTGTCACCCTGAAATGTGGTGAACAACAGTGCATCAGTACATGATTAACTCATAGAGCTCAACCAGTCACATCAGTGCTAATGAGCAGAGCCTTGTAAAATACTGATTATTACATAATGTACTTAAATGTGAACTGAATGTAATATTTTCAGACACTTAATTGCATGTAAATTTCAAGTTAGATGAAGTTTTTTGTTGTTTTTGTTGTTAACTCTTGCCTTTGGTCCTGGTAAACCCTCTCCGGGAAACCCTTGGTTGCCTTGAACTCCTGAAGGTCCTGGTGGGCCCTAACAAACAGATACTAAATATTAGTATATTATATATACATATACAGTGGATAAGATGTCTGATAGTTGCCTGTTACAGTGTAACTCATGGCTGAGGATGTGTATCTCCCTCTAGTGGTTCTGACATATCACTTACAGGCAGTCCTGGCTCGCCGATACCAACTGGCCCAGTCGGCCCAGGTCTGCCTTGGCCACCCTTTTCCCCCTTTCAAAACACAAAGAGTATGCAAAAATATGATTCCATTATAATTATACAATAATAAATGCATATTGATACACTACCATTCAAACGTTTAGGATTTGATGAGATGTTTTTAATTGTTCAAGTCTCTTATGCCCACCAAGGCTGCATTTATTTGATAAAAAATACAGTAAAAACAATAATATTGTGAAATAGTATTATTATTATTTTAAATGGCTGTTTTCTATTGTAATATATTTTAAAATGTAATTGATTCCTGTTATGCAAAGCTGAATTTTCAGCATCATTACTGCAGTCTTCAGTGTCACATGATCCTTCAGAATTCTTGTCATTCGATTACCTTTGCACCAGGAAACCCAACCCCTGGGTCCCCTGGAGGGCCGGTGGGTCCGCTAGGTCCTCGCTTACCCTGTATAGATGTCACTGTCATTCCATGTCGTATCATTTTCATGTTTATCGTTCATAATATCACATCACATCCTAATGGTGAGAGGTAGTCTCCTTACTTTAGGTCCGACGGGGCCCTCAGGGCCAGAGTCGCCAGGGTTTCCACTCAGTCCCTGCAACACACAGGCATTCAAGTATTGGTCTATATTATATAATTCACTTCAAACTAATTACACTTCATCTATGAGCTGACTGTACTGACAGAGTGTGTGTTTTGATATGTTAAAGGACTGTCATTACAAATTCATTCATAATGATAGCATACATGCTTTTTAAAAAATAAAGTATTACTGATACAGGGGCCGTATTACAGACACATCTTGACCTAGATTCCTGTTCTATGTTTAGTAATTAACTTCACTTAGAAAATACAACTCATAGAACTCAAATCTTAAATTAAGTTAACCTACTTATAGGAATTTGTCATAGATCATTCGTCCGATCTTTACTAAATTTGGCACATATCAGCAAGGCATGGTGCTGGTAAAAAGTTCAAAACTGAGCTATGACACACTTAGACAACAGGACATTCAGATGTCAACATTGTACCTATGTGGGGCATTACAAATGAAAATCCTTAATAACGCTGTAACCATATAGTGGACTGTGGATCTGATAACATAATATGGCTCGGCTACAGCCAATCAAATTTTAACAGGTAATAACTTCAAATCTGAATAGCTGGCCGTTAAAATACTGCATATTTGTACAGTGTGTAAAAATTAGTATGTGCAATAAATTTTGTGAAAATCGGCCAGAAGATGATGCTGTTCTTTATGGAAGCCTGTTTCTGCCGCTGAATAAAAAATAAAAGAAGAATTGCAACTTTTTATCTCCCAATTCTGACTTTTGTCTTGCAATTGTGAGTTTTTGCGAGTTAATTTCTGACTTTTTTTCATAGAATTGCAAGTTGTGAAGACAGAACTGCAGGATAAAAATTCGCAATTACGAGTAACCGAGTCAGAATTGCGAGATATGAACTCACATTTCTGACTTTTTTCTCGAAATTGCATAATATAAATTTGCAATTGCGAGTTATACAATCAGAATTTGACATGTAGTTGACATGTAGTTACAAAGTTACTTATAGTTAATAGAATGTCTAAAGTGGACTATCGAAATAAAGTGTAACCAATAAATGCATATACATTCATATCGCTGTTGTGCATTTTCAGAATTGCATGTATTTCTGTAGACTATTTCGTTAAACCGCGTAAACTGTTTTATGCAGACCTTGACCCAAATTGGTCAGCTTGCTTCCACAAATTGTAGCTGCCTCACAAAAACTGAAACAGACAAGGATAATAAAGCTAGCCGTGCCATAACTTATGATGTGTTTTCATTGGACACATGACAGCCAGACAGATTCCCCGTCACCAGAGAATAGACTGTGTGGGAAACTGAAGCTCTCTAAATCTGAATCAGGTCAAAAAACGGAGGCTGCTGTCATCACACCAAAAGCACAGGGACAGAGACTGAAGGAGGAGGGCAGGAGATAGTAACCCCTGTCCTTATGCTAATCCAGAGGAACAAAGACAGCCGTCAAAGAGGAACAATGGCCTGTAGGCCTGGATTCACAGCTTTAGCTATGTTACATTAGTGTAAGAACAGCACTTAATCCCTCGATCACATTCCATTAGTGCAGGGACAGGAGCGATCGTCCGACTGTGTAAACCTGCACTTGGGAGGTGCGTTACTCTTACTTTATAAGAATGATATACTTCATTATAAGGTTGTGCTATTCTTCTGTCTGGAAATATGCAGATTTCCAGATATTGAAGTGGGATCAAAAGTCTGAAATTTTCTGCTTATATGTCACCCATAATTCAAAAGAAAAAATGGTAACACTTTAGTATAGGGAACAATTCTCACTATTAACTAGTTGCTTATTAGCATGCCTATTAATAACATATTGGCTGTTTATTAGTACTTCTAAAGCACATGATCTGCACGACCATATTCTACATCCCTAATCCTACCCAATACCTAAACATAACAACTAGCTTACTAACTATTAATGAGCAGCAAATTAGAGGTTTATTGAGGCAAAAGTCATAGTTAATGGTTTATTAATAGCGAAAATTCGACCTTAAAATAAAGTGTGACCGAAAAAATACGATTCAATTTTGCATGAAGAAAATTAGACTTCATTAAAAATTAGACCATTTTTTACATTAATTTTCAACTCAAATTCGTATTACTGTAATGCAAAAGCCCATTATCAATATTGAATATAATAATAAAAAATAATCCTGTCTGAATGAAATAATAAAAAAATAAAATAAAACAGATATATCATATTATGTCATATTCAAGTTTGAGGTCGATTAGATTTTTTAAATGTTTTTGAAAAGTTTCAAAAACAAGGCTGCATTTCAAAATACAGTAAAACAGGAACCTAATATTGTGAAATATTATTAATTTAAAATGTATTTTCATATATTAAATCGTTTAAATAGAATATATTTAATATATAATAATATATTTTATATAAAAAATCTGAATTTTTAGCAGCCATTACTTCAGTGTCACGTGATCCTTCAGAAATAATTATTAGAGTTAATATATTTGTAGTAACAGTGATGAGTTTTATACTGTACATTTGACAATTATTTTCTGGATTTTTTATCAAAAGAAATAGTTTTTCAGTTTTAATTTATTTAGATTTTACAATCATTAATAATATAATATTCAAATCATTCTTTTTTTTACATAACAGAACTAATGCCACAACGCAACAAATCATAATGATAAATCAAGGTAAATTCATGCATATATCACAAACTTGATAAAGGCAACCTGATCTCCTCGTGGTCCACGTGGTCCTGGGGGTCCGTCCGGGCCCTGTGGGAATTAAAGATAGGATCATCATGACACATACAGACCACAGATCCAGAGAAATAATTTCATAAAACCTACTTGATCTCCTTTCATCCCTGGGGCGCCACATTCTCCTTTCCCGCCCTACAGAACGGAGACAGAGTGAAAGTAAGTTTCATTGTCCTGCTGTCTGATATCATCTATAGCACTTAAGTGACGTGACATGTGGCCAAGTATGGTGACCCATATTCGGAATTAGTGCTCTGCATTTATACCATCCAAAGTGCACACGCACAGCAGTGAACACACACACACCGTGAACACACACCCGGAGCAGAGCACTTCACCATCAGGCTGTCTTCTGTGAAACACTGTACAGTCAGGATGAAACACGCTCACTTTTTTCTTTGATGAATAAAATGTCAAAAAGAACAGCATTTATTTAAAATAGAAATATTTTCTAACAATATAAGTCTTTAATGTCACTTTTTATCCATTTAACACATCCTTGCTGAATTTAAAAAGTATCAAAATAAAGAAAAAAATAGTGTGTATATTGTAACATAAAATTTATATTTTGAATAAACACTGTTCTTTTTAACTTTTCATTTATCAAGGAATCCTGAAATAAGTATATGTCCCAAAAATTATTAAGCAGCACAACTGTTTCCAACATTGATTATAAATCAGCATATCAGAATGATTTCTGAAGGATCATGTGACATTGAAGACTGGAGTAATGATGCTAAAAATTCAGCTTTGCTTCACAGGAATAAATTATATTTTCAAGTATATTGAAACAGAAAACTCTTATTTTAAATTGCAATAATATTTCACAAAATTACAGTTTTGTTTTGTATTTTTTATCCAATAGATACAGCCTTGATGAGCAGAAGAAACGTCTTTAAAAAACATTAAAAAATCTTATTGATCTTAAACTTTTGAACTCCAGTGTATATATATACTGTATATATATATTATTTCAGTCAAAATGTATTTTATATTTTATAGACGGATTAATCATGTTGGTGCTTTTGTAATTATGAATATCTACAGAAATTGTACAGTTTTATTAATCTGCAGACATAGCTGGATGTGATATGATGAGAATTGACTGTGGAAATATACACAGTGTTGATATAAACTCACTGGATTTCCGGGAGGACCTCTCTCTCCTTTTTCACACTGACAAGATTTGGGTTGTGGACACTGTAACAGAGGGGAAAAAAACCCTTAGAGATGAATGATATGACATTACTGTATTATGTGGCACCGCAGGATATTTTATTTTATTTTATTTTGTACTAAAACTATTTCAACTCAAATCAATATTCTCAGTGGAATACGGTCAGTACAGCCAGCTGATCTTTATCACAAAATGACTGTAAATCAAAATACATCATTTTGTAAAAAGTAAATCATATTTACTTGAAAAACAAACGTATACACTTTAAAATGTTTTTATGAAATAACTATACTTACAACTGTGTTCGCAAGTTCACTCTGTAAAAGAGAAAATAGAGCATTGTAGACTGAACTGAACAAAATTGTAAACCATTAACAGATACATACATATTTTGAGGGGACTGTGATGTTTTTCATATGTGATGATAATTATGTATTAAAATTACTTTTTACGACCATAGTTTATTAATCACATAGATTATGTGCATGATATGATTTATTACAGCTCCCCCAGTGTTTAGATTAGTGCTTGTTCAATGTATGTTTTTCCATTTTACCACCTTTTGAGCTTTAGGTACTGTACCCGTCCATCTTTCACGTCTTCTAGGTGAAAACTGCCCTGTCTCTAAACACTCACCAGTTCCCTGAAGAGCTTGTCATCCAGCTGTGGGTCAGTGAGGCTGAACAGGTGCTGCTGAGGCGGTGCGCTGGCGATGGACCTCAGTCTACCATTGTCCTGCTCATCTCGTGTGGATCCCGACAGCCCAATGACAAACATACGGATGTTGTGGTTCTTGGCATCTGCGGCTGCACTCACAGCACTGGGGCTGCGCGGGTGGTCCACCCCTTCCGTCAACAGAAGCGCTGCTCTTAGGCTGCTGGGCGACGTCTCGCGGGTGAAGAGCCGAGTGGCGTTTGAGATGGCGTAAGCTGAGTAGGTGCCATGGCCGATGTAAGTCATGGCATCCACTTGGCTGTGGAACACGTCAATGTCCTGCCAGTCGCGGAAGTTGTGCTCCACTGAGACGGTGCTGCTGTACTGCAGGAGGGCGAGTCTCACCCGCATACGCCAGCCCGACACCTGTAGCTGCATCAGCCTGGTGCTGAAGCGCACCACGAACTCCCTCTGCCTCTCAAACAGAAGCATTTTGGCTTTCTCTGAACTGTCCACTAAAAACGCCAACTCCACTGGACAGAACAGAGCTGCAGGAAAAATAAATTAAGATATTACAGATTAGAGTAGACAGGCAGACAGGCAGAAAGAAGAGAAAGACAGACAGAAGAGAAAAACAGACAGAGAGACAGAAGAGAAAGATGGACAGATGGCAGAAAGACAGGAAAGAAAGATGGACAGACAGACAGAAGAGAAAGACGGACAGACAGACAGATAGAAAGACAAGTAGAAAGACAGACAGACAGAACAGAAAGATGGACAGGTAGACAGATAGAAAGACAAGTAGAAAGACAGACAGACAGACAGAAGAGAAAGATGGACAGACAGACAGATTGAAAGACAAGTAGAAAGACAGACAGACAAAAGAGAAAGATGGACAGGTAGACAGAAGACAAAGACAGACAGACAGGTAGAAAGACATTCAGACAGAGACGGACAGACAGACAGGTAGAAAGACATTCAGACAGAGATAGACAGACAGAAGAGAAAGACAGACAGACAGAAGAGAAAGACGGACAAACAGACAGAAGAGCAAAATGGACAGACAGACAGACAGAAGAGAAAGGCAGACAGACAGACAGACAGTAGAAAGACAGACAGAATAGAAAGATAAACAGACGGTAGTAAGACAGACAGACAGACAGATGAGAAAGACGAAGAGACAGACAGAAGAGAAAGACGGACAGACAGGTAGAAAAATGGAAAGACAGACAGAAGAGAAAGATAGACAGGTAGAAAAAATGGACAGACAGACAGAAAAGAAAGATGGACAGACAGACAAACAGGTAGACAGAAAGGCAGACAGAAAAATAGTGTTTCTTACTTTTGACTTCATTCTGCATGACACTGTTGTCTGGCTTCTGTCTGTTTTTTCTTCTCTTCTGGTTTCTAGCACTAGAGGACAGTATCAGCAGCAGGACACACAGCATCACACCACACTGCATCCTTCCTGCTTATTCACCGCCACTCTACAAACCAATCAGATGTCTGTTTTACTGTTTAACACATAACTGGAAATATGTCCTTAAAATAGTGTATTTATTTTTTGACATCACATCATGACTGTATTAAAGTCCACTTGCCTGTCTTATAGTAGTCGGACAGACAATGCAAATGCAAAATAAAACTTTCATTAAAACAGTTAGCCAAGTGTGACTGTGTATTACAGTAATTTTAAAACAATACGTTTTTTTAGGCTATGAAAACTTCTTATCCATGCTAAAATCACTGTAATGCATAGCCCTGTATAGCTTTTTGTTTTAATAATCAATGTGTCTTTACTCCTGAGGAAACATAAGTATATAGTAGATAATAGTTTATTGCAGTGATTAATAGTGCAGTTCATCCAATTTAACTGATTTTTTTGCAATACACCTTGACTGTAGAAATGCTGAGGGGTCAGAAAGGGCATATTCTATGAACTCTCCTGAGGCTGTCATGCACGTGGCCTGTACATTTCAGCCCTGAAGCTGCTACAAAATCACTTCAGTGTGACACAAGCATGCTGCTGCTGTTACACCAGGGAATTTTACTGAGAAATATTTACATTTTATTTTATAATGATGTTATCCTTCTTTTTACAATTGAATGCACATTTTCATCCATGTTTTTTAAAGTCACGTTTTAAAAACTCCTTCTGTGCTGCTACAAATATTAATAAAAAATAATTAAATTATTAATTAAATATTATATTAATATCATATTTAGCACATAATTCTATTAATATTTTATTTTACTCTTTATCGTAAAGATATAAACTTTTCAACTTCACATTATATCAACAGCTGTAACACAAAATATAAATCTGCTTTCTTGTGTCCAAGAAAATAACGAATATCATCTGAAAATGTAACAGGCATTTATTATAGTGGTTCCTTACCAAAATGTTGACTGCTGTCTGTACTGTTCGTCTCCTTAATAACCCAGTGCAATCATTGAGGTCCAGTTACATCCTCATGGTGTGTGATATCTCTGTATGAAAGAGCTAGAGGCAGAACAGGCAAAGTTTCATTGCGGCCAGGCATATAATCTGTGAATAACGCAGTAATACCCTCTCTAGACTCTGTCAGAGCTCAGTGTGCCAGTATCCTGACAGTAACCGGCTCACTGCTCTGGGACTCATAGAGTTAAACCCCCTTTTGTCGGTGGATAGGGAGGGCGATTATTCTGACAGCTTTGATTCCTGTACTCCTGTCAAACATTTTATGTGTGTTTTTTCAACCATTAGCTCACAGACATAGTGTAAAAAATCCCTGGAAAAAATAAAAAAGTCTGTCTTAAATTAAATTGCATTACTAATAGAGTATTAATAAATAGCTTGTCTCTAAACTTGATAAAACTATGGGCAGATGGAAAATCCTCTGAGAAATCTGCAGGTCTAAACTGGATTTCTGTCAGTGTCCTCAAGCTAAAAAGGAAAATGTCTATTTTAGAAACAGAAGCTCTCTCTCTCACCTCAGAACTGGCTTTATAATATTAACTTTATATTTATTTATTTTTTCCACATTGCCAAAAATGTTACTTTTGTAAAGTTTAATTTTTTTAATTATTCTTAAAGGATTTTTAGATTTGTCACAATTTAGGCTGAATATAGGTTTTCATGATCTTAAAAGAAAAAAATATAATAAAAACAAATATATTGGCTTATAATTAAAAGCATAGACTAAATATTTAAATCAATTGTAGACGATTTTTGTACATGTATAGAAAATTACTAAAATATGTATTTATTTATTTAAGGACGGAACTATGTGTGTGTGTGTGTGGGTGTGTGTGTGTGTGTATATATATATATGTGTGTGTGTGTGTATATATATATATATGTGTGTGTATATACAGTATATATATATATATATATATATATATATATAACATCTAAAACATATATGTCCATATATGTTCTCAATAGCTCATATAAAAGCTCAAGTAATAGATGTTTGTTCATGAGTCCCTTGTTTGTCCTGAACAGTTAAACTGTCTGCACATTCTTTGGTTTTCCAGCATCTTTTGTACATTTAAACACTTTCCAGCAGTGACTGTATGATTTTGACACTGCGGACAACTGAGGGACTCATACACAACTAGTACAAAAGGTTCAAACATTCACTAATGCTCCAGACGGAAACACGATTCATTAAGAGCTGGGGGTGAAAACTTTTGAACAGGACGAAGATGTGTGTTTCACTTATTACTGGCCTTCAGAAGTTACAGAAGATACTTACATGTTTCCCACGAGACAAAATAAGTACAGTTTACCCTCCGTTTGTCTATTGCACAGTTATGATGACTCCATCCAGTGTAGAAACTAATAAAGAACGAGTAGGTGTGTTCAAACTTTGGATCTGGTATCTACTTGTTTTGAGTGTTTCCTTGAACTACACAGGTCAGAAAACGGTCATGTCACATACCCTATTCCCAACCATGTCATCTTCTGTCATCTATTCCCAACCTTGTCATCTTCTGTCATCTATTCCCAACCTTGTCATCTTCTGAAGGTAAGAACATGAATGCACGTTCCTCCACCCATTTGATAAACCTCAGCTCTTTGAAAATGTGGAGACTATCAAACCCTCTTGATGACCCATGCACTGAGTGAAATACCTCTCCACCTGACAAGCTACAAAAAAGTGACAGGGCAACGAGGCACTCAGAATGACTTACAGGGAGGAGTCGTCGAAGAAAATCAGTGGACGACCACAGCAAATACAGCTGTCATTCACTTATTATATGCTTAGGAGAAAACTCATTTGTCATTGGTATGCCTCAGAAAGTCAAATGCATGCTTCCTCTAATGTAAAAATCATAAATCTGCTTAAAAACACCTCAGACATTGTGCTGTTGTAGTTACATCTAAGCTATGCTTCAGTATGTAAAGCTCAGATCACAGTATTCTGACAATGTGATGTCATAAGGAGTCGTATTTTTAAACAGCGCTTAAGATGTCACTTGCAGCACTAAGTCATAAGGAGAAACTTGACAATTGATACAAATGCAGCATTTCTTCTATATTTACATCCTTAAGATTTTTGTGCTCATTCTTAAAGTGGCTGTTCAACATGAAATGCTTGAGTCAAAGGTGAAAAGTTTGACTCTATGAAACTGTCATTGTATTTTACATCATAATATTGGCCTATATCCAATTTCTTCTGACCTACAAAGTGCAAACCTGTGTATTATTACCTTAAAGAGCTATTTAGTCCATTAACATCAGTTTTGTTGGTATAAACTGATGTATATAGGTTGGTTCAGTGATGTTAAATAATATTTTTGATTTGAATAAAATTAATTTAGATGTTAGCATTTTTAAGTTAAATTTTTTTTCAGTGTGATAAGACAAAGCCATATCGAAAGTATTTTACTGATGATACCATAATTTACCCTGTAATTTACTCTATTTGCTGACAGTATGAGAATGACATGTTAATATCTTCTACAAATTGTTTCTGGTTGAGTTTGACAAGTTAGTTTTAAAATAACGTGACAGTTCCTTTCAGCTGCTCTACTTTACATCCCATTTTTCATTTTTAATCATTTTAGCTCTTTCATAGAGTGGCCAAATTGAAGTAAATTCCAAATCTGCTGCCCGGGGCACATCAATGGGAGTCATGACAAGGAAAAACGAATGGAGTGGCGTTTTAATCATTCTGTGCCTTTAAGCGCATGAACCAACCGCAGAATGAGCTTCGACTTTGCGAGTTGTGAACTTTAGGTGTTCAGTGTAAACGAAATATGTGAAATGATATGTGACTTCAGAGTGCTGCAGAGATTTGCTGTTGCACGGCGCTAAAAGATAGTTTAACGGCCCTGGGAACTTACATGTGTGACCACAGGCTACGAAAGGTTTCTTGAAGCCATTGTGCACGGGTGATTTGTTAAACATGTCAGAAGATAATATGCAGAAGCCTTCCCGCGGCAGTGAGTACATCCGTGTAGCAAAAAGATCTGATGAAAACACTTAAACCCAAGATGAGCCAAAAAAAGGCTATTTTAAAAGGAAGACACACTATAAAGCATGTCAGATGCGTTCTGTCAGCATGTTGTTATTAAGGTCTTATTTAAAGGTCAAGGTGATGTCACCTTCACTGTCAATGGCATGTGGCAGTAATATGTTTTACTTAAGGTCATGAACTTCAAACAGGTTTGCACATATTTGGTCAGGGGCATTTGATGAAGTAATAAAAAAAAATCTTTAAAATGCATAAAGAAAACTATTATTATACAAAGCAGATGAGCACCATTTTTGACATTTAAGCTGATAAATAAATTTTTGTAAGAAGGATTCATAGACATTTCTTTTATTGTGCAAAAGTCTTGTATTTTCACCAACAAAGAAATGGTTTTAAGTCAGTTATTTCTATCTTTTGCTGTAGTGTGTCAGTAGGAAATATCAGTTCCCTTTTGATACTACACTCGTACTGCATCTTGCTAGACGCATATGGGAAAAAGCCTTTTTTCTCCTGAACTGAAGCCTTTTTTCATTCACGCAGTGAAACTGCACGGCCATTGGTTCGTGCAGTGTATTAAAAACGAACCAGGGGCGGGGGAGCGGCGCGGCAGGAGCCTATGGCGACGAAGCCCGCCAAAGCCTGCCAAAGCCCGCAAGAATGGGCAGGGCATCTGGCTATATAAGCGGGCGTTCGCCACAGGATTCTCAGATTTCTTCTCCTTCAGTGATGACTCTACGTCTGTACACTGATCCGAAGCCGCTCGCCGTTGACACGCCTTCGCAGCTGGAATCGGGACCTCTCAGCACGGCTAACCTGCTTCTCCGCTGCTTCAGCGACGCAGCAGTTCCGGTCCTTTTCCCCTGCCACCATCCGGCGATACTAAAAGAGCTACTAAAAGAGCTTGGCGTTGTTGCAAATGCCACGCCGTTACTGCGGTTCGTGCGGGTCTCCCCTGCACGCCGATGACGGCCACACGGAAAGTGTGGAAATCCCATGCGGAAGCTGCACTCACGGGAACTATTTGTTCTCACTATGAGAACTTCAGTCTCGCCTCTCTCCGCTCACGGATCGCTTTCTTTTCAGAGAGCGGCTCCGCCCCTCGCGCCCTCCCGTTTTCTTCCTTTCTAGGGACCTGTGAGGAAAAAACAGCAGAGCAGAGGGCTTGAGTGACCGGCTGCGAGCGAGCTCACGTCGGCCCAGATCCCGCATGCCTCGCTCTCGCCCCAGAGATTGTATTCTACCGTCCTTTTCTCCCAGTCTGATCAGCGTCCCTCTGCTGGTGCGAGCGACCTGATCTCCGTACTGCTTCTTCATCCGCCCTCACTTCCATCGACGGCGTTGAAGAAAAAGGGTACGATGAGCCACCTCCCCTAGATGAGTCAGTGGCCGCGCACCTCTGCCCGCCCACGGCCATCGGCTGGAGAGCAAAGGCCGCTCACCCGTCCAAGCTGTGTAGGACCACTTCAGCTCTCGCTGGACGCGCCTACACTTCAGCTGGACAGGCGGCTTCGGCACTTCATTCAATGGCGGTCCTCCAGGTCTTTCAGGCCAAGATCCTTGCATCCTACGATGAGTCTGGCCTGGACCCCGCGACCCTCAGGGAGCTGAGGAGCGCAACCGACCTGGCTCTGCACGCCACAAAGACCACCGCTCAGGCGATCGGGAGGCTGCTGCCTCTGCTCGCCCTAAGTCTGCGCCGACTCAGCAGCCCGAGAAGCCAGTACCTGCCGCCCCCGCCATTCAGCCCGCTAAGGCGCAGCAGACGCGGGGACACTCTCGCTCGGCCAAACGCTACCCTCTTCCTAAGTGCCAGGGACCCCGACCCAAGATTGCGTTGGACCCCGCGCCTCAGACGTCATCCTGATCTGCGAGACAGGAAGAGGATGGGGCCAGATCTCACTACGGCCGGACCGCCCCTCAAGCAGCCTCTCTTAGACGTCTTGCCTCTCTTCCCTCATTTCTCAGAGGGAAATGTGTTTTGTGCAAACAACAGGTCCGTTTAGCCCAAGCATTCAGTCGCTGTTATAGCGGGAAAAATAAAACACAAACATTTTCAAAAAGAGAGCAAACTTCCTCTTCCATTACTCACAAGTGTTCTGCCCTCGTGCGGCCAGTCACTCGAGTTAATTCAACCCCTCG